TTGGCTGCCATAGAACCTTCCTCCACTTTCCCTATACTCCTCCTCCTCCTCACTCCCTTTTTCCAAAAGAACAAGAGACAGCCCAGACTGATCGGAATTCCATCTGTTGGGGAGCGGCCAAGTGACAGCGGAGAAATACAGGCATCTGGTCTCCATTTCTGTCAGGCTGGTGTTCCAGCTTACATCTTACAGCTGGGAGAGGATGAGGGAGAGGAGAGGGTGCTGGCAAGGGACTAGAAAGTGTGCTGGCACTCTCAGGCCTCTCGTCCATTTTTCACACATCACCCCACATCCTAACAGGAGATGTCCAAAAAGATGCACCCCACCCCCTCCCCCCATCACAACACACACACAGACGCACACACACACACACACACACACACACACACACACACACACACACACACACACACACACACACACACACAAAAGCTCTCATCTGAACGACACAAGAAGAGAACACGGTTATCAGCAGTCAAGACTCGGACAACAGATCAGAACAAAAGCAAAAAGAACAAAGGTTCATGTGAAGCCAGCAGGCTAAGACTTTGGCAGGCAGCACACTTTCAAACATGCACATGTGCATGTTCTTTTATTCCTATTTGTAAGTAAACTCCAAAATATTATCTATTGATCATCATAGTCGCTCTATGAATCGCAGAGACTTTATTTATTAAATTAACCTTAAAACAAAATACTGCCTTATCATTACTTTTTACATTCTCTAAATATGTGCAAGCACTATATTTAAAATAGTACACGTTTTATATTATTAGCACAAAATTGACAATACAATTTTTTTTTAAATAAAGAAAAACTGCTGTAAATAATAATATTGGGGTTTTACTGTTCATTTTATTATAGATGTAAAAATCATGCGTATATTCATGTCTACATAGCCTTGCAATATTCTACTAGTATCAGCACTGCTCCAGCCTCTTCACCCGTAGATTTATCTTTTATTCTGCAGTCTACTAAAGATTTGTCATCATTTTTGGTCAAATAAACATAAAACATTACAGTTTATGATAAGGTTTCATGTGGTTGTTATTGCAGATAACAGGGCTGTCTGGAATAGTTGATTATGATTGGTCATTCGCAACAGCTAACAACTGCTGAAACTAATAACATAGGCTCATCCGGGTACCTGGAATTATCTTGACTGTCAGGGAATACGTTCACATCCATATACATACATCCAGATTCATATATCCTTGTCTGTCATGCCGCTTTTGACTGGATAATTTGTAGGTTTGTGTATGCACTATTAAGCAATTTTTCTGTCAACATTGCATTTTCTTTACTTTTTTTGCCATCTGGTGACTGAATAATACTCAGATTAATGTACTGTATGCTACATCACATCCATTCAGCTACATTTGTTTATGTCAGTTAAGCTTTTATTTAAATAATTAATAACTATATTCATAAAATGTTTTCTGTCTAATTATTACGTTTTATGGCAATTAGCCATGTAAGCCAGTATGCCTGTCGGGCTTTATCCTGTAATAGCCTATTAATATTAGTTAATGTTTATATTAACACAATCTAATAAAGAACAGTACTTGTACAGCAATTATTAGTTCAAAATTTACTAATGCATTATTGTTAACTAGTGAATGCACTGTGAGTTAGCATAAGCTTACAATGAATGATTTTATTTTAATAAAAAAACATTAAATTAAGGACAAAATACATCCATGAGGTTGTTATAGAAGAATCTCCTTGATGTATTTACAGTATCCCGCTTATTACACGGCTATCACAAACCTTGGAAATTAGTCTCAAAACATTGTTTTGAGCCCTAATAATTTATTAAATCTTTAATTAAATGCAAAGCGGACAAAAACAGCTCATGACAACTTGCACATTATTTAGTCACAGGATGGCACCAAATTGTCAAACGCTAGGCTGACTGAAATCAAACTGACTGAATAAAGCATAGACTGACATCCGTATAATTCATTTACAAGACGGCGCCAAAAAGTCAAAAACTGCGGCGTGAAAGACTTGCTGATAATTATGAATGTGGATGTTATATGGTTTTAAATATATATTTAATGACAGTGACTCAAAGTTTCTGAATAAGCTTGCTTTATTTAGTGGTTGTTATCTCGGGACAACCATGAAATCTGGCAACTGACCAATCAGAATCGAGTATTCCAGCCAGCCCTGTGTAATGATTAATCCCTATATAAATTTCCTTCTAAAGGCGCGTGCACACACACACACAGGTTTGATTATTTATTTGGAGTAACTAATATTGAGTAAAACAACACAGCATCCGAACAATCAAGTATATAATCAAGTATATAATCAAGTATATTTTACAGTACATTATTAACAGTACTAAGGATATAGATGACATCATCTTTTCCAAACATGCAAGCTTACTATTATTGCCGACACAGAGCTGTATTTGCCAATTAGTTTTAGGCTCTTTCTAGTAGTCAATCCGGCAATTTCTTACACAAAGTCTATGAACAACAGGAGAGTGCTGTTGAAATCGTAATCTGATATTGTATTATCTGTCATTTTATTAATGTGTGTATTTATTCATTTTGCATTTGTGTTTATATGCATTTATTGTTAGATAAAATTATTTTATATTAAAAAAAATATAGTAATATTATTTATTATATTAAGATATATTATAAGTGAACTATATTTTAAGATCAATGGCCATCTTTGGCCTTTCTAAAAAACATATTTCAGGGAATTTCAATTTACATGTGCAATAGTACTGCTGCACTTTAGTGAGATGAACAATATAATTATTTATATTAAATTATTAAAACACAATGGAAAGACCTACACATGTATGTTTCTCTCATATAACACAAAATTAAAGACATAACAAGAATTAGAGAAAGAGATAAATAGACTTAGAGAACATAAAGAAGAGAGAGAAATGCAACTGTATCTGATGTGCAGTGTGTCAACATTTCATGGCAAAATCACTGTTGTGTGTGTTTGTCAATGTGTGTGCGAGCGATCTAGCAGATGATAACTGCACCAGTGAAAAGTATGACAGGCAACGGGTTTGACTTCTGAGAGTGAGCGTTGTTGAATTATTATTGGTGACAGGTATGCTATCTAGGAGACAGCTCGACGGCAGACAGAAGGAAATGGAGAGAGCAAAGAGCAGAGGGGGATTATTCATAAACCACAAAGTTTAATAATGACCTATGAACTTTCTCAGTAAAGAACAGAACACATCACACTGTGGCACTGCCAGACACAAAATAGTCAAAACTGCAGCTGACTGATATTCTGTCACCCAAACATGACAAAATACTACGGTAAAAAAAAAGTATTCCTAATTCAGTGTAATTTTAGGTGACTTAATTAAATGTGTTAATATTACAAGAAATGACATCTGCTCTACAAAAGTATACACAAACACAGTAGTGCACACATGCATACATAAACCCTCACTCTGTGCATTTTCTTGTTCTCATTCTTCTTCTCTTCCACACCTCTTTTTTTCTCTTTTTTGCATTAAATATTTATGAGATTAGAATTAAGATTCCTGCGCACATGCTCCTGCTGGCACCTTCCGTGGGTTGTGACATCTTGTGTCAAGGCTCTGATTAACAATGTTCAACACTCTGCTTCTAGACTGACAGACAGATGAGGTCGAGAGGAGAGCGGGCAGGTAAATAACAAGAAAACAATTCCAAAAAGAAGAGGAGACACAGAACAGACAGTTTGGGAATGAGAGAGAGGCAGAGAGAGGGGGAGGAGAACATTCATTAGTGTGGTTGCAAGAGCTCAAGTGTTTTTTTCTTTGTCAGTCCTGAATCAGACGTTTACCTGCATTTTGTATAGAATAGATGCTGGGAAGTACAAAACATATTTGCCCAATAGCAGCTTTTGTTGGTATACTTTACAATAATTACAATAATAAACTATTGGCAAAGCATTAAACTGACTTACTGCATCATTTATTCATACTTGTAAATGTTAATCAGACTGAAATGCAGGTTTTGTATAATGTTACAAATATTATGAAATGTAATCATTTATTTGACTGTAATAAACTTTATACAGTTATTTATTAGGGCAGATGAGCTGGGCATCATGATTTAACAGCTATCTTGCACATACTAAGGACAGTGTTTAGTCTAGTACTATTATGAGATCAGTATCAGATACCAACTCAGTTGTTTTTTAAGTTTATTTTCTTATATGTTTGCTAACTAAAACCTAATATTCGGAACATTATTAAACATGATAATTAAGTGTCTTGATTGGAAACCCATAAAAGTTTTTTAATTAAAAAATTGCTGAATATATCAAATAGAGTAGTTAGTATTTTGCCATGTCGTATTTAATGTCTGGGGGTTTTTCAAATAAGCCATCAGGGGTAGAGCAATGAGAAACACAAACAGACACCACAAATGACTGTTGAACAGTAAAAAAATACAGCCTTTCACAATTCCTTCCAGTCAAATGATGAGAGAAAAAGTGTGCGAGAGGGAGAGATTTACTCACAGAAGCCATTTCCTTGTACAAGGCCTCAAAACCGCCTTCAAGCTCAGCATGCTGTTCCACTTAGGCATGGTCTCCAAACCAAAGCCATCCACCTCGCTCTGCTATTGGCGTTGGACACACAAGGCTAACCACAAGCACATGTTCAGTTGCTCTTAACTAATTCATACAGGAACACTTTGGTTTTGTTGAGAACCCAAAAGCCCTGTACCTTTGATTAAGAAATGTGTCTGATTCCAATTAAAGAGCAAGAGGTGTGGGAAAACATCTTGGTGGTTCTAGTCAGTAACTGGCTTCAGTCGTGATGGTTCTATTTTCTTGCACTTTTATTTATTAACTTTTCATATCTTTTCTATTGTCCCTGGCAGAATAATAGGAAACCTTTTAGAAAATCCATTGCTTCATTGTATTGTTTACCTCACAATATATGAAGGTTCACGCCTTTTTTGTGTTTTTATGATATCAGTTATGTTGTGAATAGAATCATGTTTTAGTTTTTAATTTACCTGTAATATGTAGCCTCTAACGTAGTCTCTCAGAGTCCAGCCCAAGCCATGAAGAATGTGTAGAACCTCTTCCTGTTTAAGGACACTGAACAGACGGTCCAGTAGGATCTTCAATCTCACAGGTACTGCCTGAGTCCCATACAGCATCAGACTGCTAATGTCAAACACCACATTGGACTGCACGATCTCCACCTGCGTCGGGTGGTACAAATGCTGTGTGCTCAGCTTGTCTAGTGCTATAATCACAAAAACAAGAACACACACAATTAGAGACTACATAAAAACCCATAAAGATTTATCATAAAGAATTTCATATTCATTATTCAATTTATAATGGCTTATGGATATGGCATATATATTTATATATATTCATTAATTCATTCATTCATTTTCTTGTCGGCTTAGTCCCTTTATTAATTTGGGGTCGCCACAGCGGAATGAACCGCCAACTTATCCAGCAAGTTTTTACGCAGCGGATGCCCTTCCAGCCGCAACCCATCTCTGGGAAACATCCACACATACAGACACTACGGACAATTTAGCCTACCCAATTCACCTGTACCGCATGTCTTTGGATTGTGGGGGAAACCAGAGTACCCGGAGGAAACCCACGCAAATGCAGGGAGAACATGCAAACTCCACACAGAAACGCCAACTGAGCCAAGGATCGAACCAGCGACCCAGTGACTTTCTTGCTGTAAAGCAAATGTGCTACCCACTGCGCCACTGCGTCGCCTATATATATATATATATATATATTAACTGATTATATTTATCTTTGCCATGATGACAATAAATAATATTTGACTAGATATTTTTTCAAAACACTTCTATACAGCCTTAAAGTGACTTTTAAAGGCTTAACTAGGATAAGTAGGTTAACTAGGCAGGTCAGGGTAATTTGTCAAGTTATTGTATAACAATGGTTTGTTCTGTAGACTATCGAAAAAAAAATATTGCTTTAAGGGGCTGATAATTTTGACCTTAAAATCGATTAAAAAAAATTAAGAACTGCTTTTACTCTAGCCAAAATAAAACAAATATGATTTTCTCCAGAGGAAAAATATATTATTAGAGATACATTCAAAATTTCCCCACTCTGGTAAACGTCATTTGGAAAATATTTAAAAAACAAAACAAAAAAATTTGAAAAAAAGGGGAGCTAAAAATTCTGACTTCAACTATATATACATACACACACACACACACACACACACACACACACACACACACACATATATATATATATATATATATATATATATATATATATGATTTGGCATATGATGAGTCTGAAATAGCATACTCCAAAATATTTTCCCATATTTACTTAATTTAAAATTTATCATTTGAGTTTATGTATGCATGTATATGTAGATACATATTGTACTGTATGAACACTTTACCATTTAAATATTTATTCATGTTTTACTGGAAGAACATTTACATGTGTAATATTATTTAGGTGTGTTAATAACTTTCATAACTTTTTTTTGCCCACATTTTGAAAACTTTTCCTCTTTTTTTCAAAACTTTAAACCCTCTGATTTACCAAATGAAGCATTGCATTTAAAATATAACAAAACACATCTCAAATTGCAAACACCTAAGCCATAACTTTTTTTGATATATCATACACATATATTCATAACAAAGTATTTCTTGTGCTCCTAAATGTACACGATATGTTTTCACGATATAGAGTCATAGACAGAGAAAGCAAGCAAAAGCAAGATTAAATCCAAACTACTTATTTATTTTAGTTATCATTACAGTTTTTCTCATCGTAACAAGCATTGTGCAATACTGAAGTATCATTTTCAAAACGCTTCACACTGTATGCATTGCCAAATGATGCTAAACTGCAGTTCAGCTTGCCTACAAAAGTCTGTCAAACCAGCACAACAGTTCATGTACACTTCAAAATAAGTTTGTTACACCATACCACTGACAACAATTCTCAAATTGTTCAAAAAACATACATTTCATTCATAACACAATTACCTAAAACACTAACAACAGGCAGCATTGCAGACTTTTTTACAGAAACCTCTTTTTTTGAAGTTTGAATCATTTCTTTTTATCTACACCAGTATATAATTTTACATTATTTACATTACATATTGGTTAAAATGTGTGATGAGAATAAAAAAATACTTGTGTTGCAAATGTAGTAGGCCTACTTTACAGCACAAGTGAAAACCACAGTTCCAATATTTAGAAACATTTACCAAACTGCAAGTTAAAGAGGCAAGCTTTGGTTGGTACATGTAGAAATTTAGATATTGATTGTATTGAGCTTATAAAATGACAAACACTTTGTCCTCCACGTACTCCTGCTTTCACTAATTATTAATCACCATTTATCACTCTTCTTTGCCTACTAACCTGTATTCCCAACAAAACTTTCCAAGGTATAGCTCTTTACAAAAAAAAAAAAAAAAAATCCTTTCTAATAAAAAAGGCATGCAATTTACAATCATTCTGTTTTGAAAAAGCTTTTAACAATTTTTAAGCAGGTTTGTTAGCATTTGAAAAATTTGTAGTTTTTGCAACTTGTAGAGACAAAACTGTTTGGTAATTTTATTGCATGAATTTCGTTTGAAAGCAACAAAGTGATTCACAGTTTGCCCCACATAGACTCCCGTTTGGCTGATTCAGTACTGCACAATGCTTTTTAATAGTATTATTATTGGCGGTTCATTCTGACCCCTGATAAATCAGGAACTAAGCAAAAGAATAGTAAGAGATTTTTTTTAATGTACAGTATTTATTTTTGTGAATATAGTAATGCACAGTATAAAAAAAAAATCATATTCTCATGTTTGCACATGTGACCAGTGATGGTGAGCCACTGACGAGTTAGAGTTTGAAAAAGGACATCAATATGCTTAAAGTTTTTTATGTGTTACATAGAGAACTGTGTGTTATGTGTTACAAAGGGTGTTTTTTGAACAGTCAAAGGCTGATAGCTAGCATAAGGTCTGTTGTTTGAGTGTCAGGTTTTTTAAATTGTGTGTAAAGATTGTGTGTGTAAACAGATGACAATACTATAATAATAATAATAATAATAATAATAATAATAATAATAATAATAATAATAATAATAATAATAATAATATAGTTTGGCTTCAGTTTCACTTTTGTGATTTCAGTAAATTTTGTTTCAGCATCTCTCTGTATATTATTTTTAATCTTATACAAATATGTACATAGCTGAAGAAAGAAGAGTTATTTTATATAGATTGTATGATATATTTAAAAATATAAAGTGATGACAATGATGCTTGCTATGTAAGACAATGGGTGCTTTTGGGATGCTTTAGTGATGTTCTAAAGTGCTTCCTTCTGCAAGAATTTGTAATATGTTTTTTTTTTTTTTGTGGTTAATAGTTGTTAAAACCAAATTATTTATTTTTACTAGTCACAGTAGTGCATGTGGTTATGATCAAAGGGTAATGAAATAACTCTTTTATTTTAACTTAGCTCAAACACAAAGCTGGTAAGCACCCATAGTTGAAGTCAAAATTATTATCCATCCTGTTATATTCTTTTAAAATTATTTCTCAAGCATTGTCTAATGAAGAGAAGTTTTTTCAACACATTATTAAACATAATAGTTTTAATAACTCATTTCTTTTGTCTTTGCACTGATTATAGTACATGGTATTGCAACATATTTTTGAAGATACTAGTATTCAGCTTAAAGTGCAGTTATAGGCATAACTAGGTTATTATTTTAACTACGCAAGTTAAAATAATTAGAAAAGTTATTGAATAAGAGGCTTGTCCTGTAGACAATCAGGGTAAATGGAGATAACAGTGGCCCTTCACCAAAAGGAAGGAATACTGTAAAATTGCCTTGCTCTGTTAACCATCACTTAGGGAAAGTTTACAAAACGAATAAAACATTCACAGTGATGCGGTGGTGCAGTGGTTAGCACATTTGCCTCACAGCAAGAAGGTTGCTGGTTCTTGGCTGGGTTAGTTGCCATTTTTGTATGGAGTTAGCATGTTCTCCCCGTGTTTGCGTGCAGTTTCCTCTGGGTGCTCCGGTTTCTATGGTGTTTTCCCATTTGTCCATAGTGTATGAGTGTGAATGAGTGTGTGTGGATGTTTCCCAGTGATGTGTTGTGGCTAGAAGGGCATCCACTGCATAAAACATATGCTGGATAAGGTGGTGGTTCATTCAGTTGTGGCAACTCCGGATTAACAAAAGAACTATGCCAAAAAGAAAATGAATGAATGAATAAAACATTCACATGAGGGCTAATATTTTCTGTGTGAATGTTAAAAAACAAAACAAACAAAAAAACAACACTCCTGCAGACCGCAACACCTCTGTGAAGAAAGGACAGTGGGATCAAACCAATCGACTCCTCTTTCAACTCTCTCTCTCTCGTGCTGTCTGACTCTGTGTGACACCTGTTTTTTTTTTACTCCTTTAGTACAGGACTGATTTTTGTGCTGACTAGCTCTTTGCCTGAAAACAGACCTTGCTAGACACGAACATAATAAAAAATGAAGAACTACTTGTCAGAATGGCTGCCAACACTACAGACAAAATGAGAAGTCTATGGCAGAGAGGAGTGAAAAGAAGAGGAGGAGAGGAAAGATAGTGGCTGACAGTTCACAGTGAAATTAAAACTAGGCGAAGGGCCCCTGTGATGGTCCCTTTAGGCCTGTCTCTCTTCCTTTCATCCCAACCCAACAGGTGTTTTCTTTTGTCTCTCTATGAAACCAACTGTCTATTTCTTACTCCGTCTTTTCTTTTTTAACTCTATCCCTTTTGACTGTCATCTTTTTCATTTGATGTTTTCACTAGCACTTCAGCTACTTTTTGGCCTTTCTATGCCTTTTTATTTTTAATATAATTAAATATGAGGGGAAATAATTTTAATAGAATTATAAGTAAAGAGGCAGTTTAATGAAGAGTGATTGTTTAGCTAGTGATTGTTTAGAAACAGATAAATGGACAGATAAAGAGGGTAAGCCCATGACACTCACATTTCATTGTATACTGAGCCACTTCAGGTTGACACTAAAGGCAAGACTACACTTTAAACTAAAAACAAACAAGTGAAATATAATTTATAAATAAATATGCAGGTGGTATATGTAGGTTTTTGGTGAAGGTTTATTCATCTAAAATATACCGATTAAATTATTTTACAGTTTTTCTCCATTGCTGAAATACATAGCTTGAAGTGATGCCCCTTTTCTGAAAAGTTTTGAACTTTAGATTCTGTTGTATTTCATATTGTGGAACACAATTCAATCTTCAAAAATACAAACATCACTTACAAAAAATACTACTAAAACTGGTACGTTGTGTTGCTGATTACATTACAGTAACTTGCAGACATAATTTTTTAGACAATCAGATACATTTTCTTTTCATACAATAGCCTACATGTATACATGCCTTAGGCCCCATTTACAATAGGTTTTAGTTTTAAAGTGCATAAGTTTTGCAATGGTTATGCCTTCCGTCTACATTATCCTGGAGTTTTTGAGACCTTAAAACAGAGACTTTTGTGAGGCTGGCGACATTGGCTCCCTGATTGGGGCTTTTTCTCAATATAAAGTATACAATGTTAAAACTTTTCAAGTTTATAGGGGAAACGAAAGCCAGAGGATGCCACACATTGGGTACATTTTCAAATGTAAGGGGTGTGCACTTTTATAACGTCTTTCACATCACTCTGGCTACGTTTCATCTTAACAATCTTAACAATAATAATGAATACTTTCTATTTCAATTTTGATATTAACTTAAACATAAAAAACACAAAAAATGTTAAGCCCTATATATTTATATAACCATGATCTTCACTGTATGCAAATTTAAAAAAAAAAAATGGAGCCTAATAGTTAACATAACAGCTTCATTTTCATTGAAAATCATGGAACATTAGGCTTACTGTGGTTTTGGCAATACAAAATGATTATAAGAGGAAATGCATGGTGAAGCTATAAAAATAGCAATCTCTTCTTATCAGTTTTAATAATCAGTAATGGGCATTATAATAGTATAAAGTACAACTTTCAGGCCTATGGGAAATAAAGGTAAGTAATCAGTTTCACCTGAGAACAAGTATAAATAGATTCAAAAGACAGGGTCATTAGATATACACAAGATAATTTTTAGATCACGTTTAACAACTATAAGGATATGAGATCCAGCAGCAGATTTTGGATGGACTGACCAATAAACACTGCTCTCACCTGGGGAGGTGCCCGCAAATCTTCCACTAACTGCCTGGAGCTCAGATGGCCAAATACATGAGGACGCTGAAGCAAATTTCAGCGCATGTCAGAGTGTGGGTATGGTCATGTGATGTACGTTTAGTGTGGACGGAGAGCTTTTCAGAAACGCTAGATGAAATGCCAGTGTAGACTGGAGTGTGGAACGACATTTTAAACTAAAACGCATCAGTGAAAGTGGGGTCTTACAGTCGAGTACTGGAGAACTTCATTACTCATTCTTACCTTATCCATGAACAAGAACTACAGTTGAAGTCAGAATTATTTGTCTTTAAATTAGTTTTTTTTTTCTTTTTTTAAATATTTCCCAAATGGTGTTTAACAGAGCAAGGTAATTTTCACAGTATGTGTGATAATTTTTTTTTTCTTTTGGAGAAAGTCTTATTTGTTTTATTTTGGCTAAAATAAAAATAAAAACTTTATTTTTTAAAAACATTTTAAGGTCAAAATGATTAGCCCCTTTAAGCTATATTTTTATTCGATAGTCTAAAGAACAAACCATTGTTATACAATATCTTGCTTAGTTGAACTAAGTAACCTAATTAAGCCTTTAAATGTAACTATATGCTGTATAGAAGTGTCTTGAAAAATATCTAGTAAAATATTATTTACTGTCATGATGGCAAAGATAAAAGAAATCAGTTATTAGAGATGAGATACTAAAACTATTATGTTTAGAAATGTGTTGAAAAAAAAAAAATCTTCTCTTCGATAAACAGAAATTGGGGAAAAATTAAACAGCGAGGCCTTAAATTCAGGGGGCTAATAATTTCGACTTCACAAGCTACAACTTGAACATCAGCTGCCACCTTGCAAACCTGCTGATAAGTGCAGCACAATTACTTGAAAACTTCAGTGTACCAAAAAGCACTGAATCTGTTCAGAAAAACATAAAGAGTGCAGTGTGTCACCAATTCTTGAAGCTAAAATAAATGATATAGGCTCTTTCTTATATTTGCTGAAAGTCCTGATTGATGAGTGTGATCTATTTTGACTGATGATAGTGTCCTATCATACACCTGACACAATATGTTGCAAGGCATGTAGGGCATGATTAGTTGTTGTTTTTTTTTTATTTTTTTTTTTATTTGCTGTTAGAACTAATTTTCACGTTTTCCACTGTGTTGTCTCAATAGCAAATCCATTTGTGTCATTTCGTGGACTTTCACAATATTAAAAAAATATAAAAATATAATAGCATCACAATGAAAGTGCACTCTTCCAAAAAACACATAATATTTTATTCTTAAGAACATTTTATTTAATTATAGTTATTTTAAAAACTGAATAATTAGGCATTGGAATCAGAATGTGAAAATCCAAAATCCCTTATCCTAAATAATAATAAATGTTAACAAATCACCACCTTCGAATTATAAAGTTCTATCAGACAATTTTGTCAATATTGAGTTTTTCACATATTCTTAATAAATAACAACTTATTTACATACAGTATATATTCACTTATATTGCTCATTGCCCTTTTTCTTTTAAAGTCTTTAAATTTGACATTAAGCCTTGAAGTGCAAATGCTTCATTTAATTCATGGGGCATGTAATTCAATAAATATAATTCAATAATTCATATAAAGAATATAATTTAACAAAGATTACCATATTAATAACATAAAATTAACATCTGCACTGGACAAAATTTTAAGCACAGCCTTGTATACTTAATTTGAACAAGAAAAATATTCATCCTAAAACATTAAATGAATATTATAAAAAGTAAAAACTTTTGCAAACATCAACAAATTGTTACAACACCATTTTTTTTCCAATTAAATTAATAAGCAGACCGATTGTATTTCTTGTAAAGCTATGCTTCAGAACATTTAGTAGAATCTGTCATGTTAATGTATGAAAGAGAACTATTACACGCATATTGTTTGCTATGTGGAATGCAAAAAAATTTTAAGCTCAATTTCTTAAAATCATTTAGAATGCAGATGGAAACTTATAATTCCAAAGAGACATATTAGGGCAAGGTAAAAAGTAACCGAGGCTGTATTATCTGGTACCAGATCTATATTTAATTGTCGGATACCCACATAAAATAATTCCAATAAAGGGAGATGTTGCATAATCAGCTAAAACATTGCTAGAACTGATTTTTATGTATGGGTGATATATATTGCATGACCAAAACTAATTGAGGTCATGTCCAAGTGTTATTGTGACAGGCCTACTGGGTGTGCTGGTCTGAAAATGAGGTGTGTTAAGGTTCATTGTTGGCACGTTGACAATTTGAGGCAACTGAAATAGACCACGCAATTAACCAACTAAAAGCTGGTCTAAAGTGAATGGCGCAGAGTTTTTGTAATTTAAACAGTGTGTTGGTTAGGGTCCAAAACACACATACACATTGCTCGATACACACGTACAGCAATACACAAATATCTTCATCTATGAAAACAATTAAAGGTTTAAAATGTTTTTAAAATATTTTCTTTTCTACATAAATTTGAAAACCACTACCTCTTTGCCTTCTTCACCTCGGGAGGCTTTGTAATTCAATTCTGTTGTAGTATTCACGACAATTTGCATTTGTATAATGTTATTATTAATAGTAGTATATATTATATGCAAATTTATATTCGTTTTAATAAAAACAAGCTAAGATTTGTCCACCTATCAGGTTTTGGAGATGTATGCACAACCATATGGAGCATAGGAAAAGGAATTGTATTTGGACATAGTTAAGAAAAGGTTTTAAAAGAAACCTTTAGGCTACACAAATAAAATTACTAAATTTGGATAACAATGTCTTCAGTGGAGTGAGTTTCCACTGTTTCCTTACTCCACGAAAGTAAAGAAGAGTAAAGTAAAGAATAAAAGTAAAGCAAAGGGAAAGTAAAGAGACCAAACAGAGGAGGCTCGTTCTTATCTTTGCGCTGCAGATGGTCTGTTTAACTGTTTTCTCATTGGTGAAGCATTCAGTTAATTTGCAATGTCCGCCATGTAAACAACAAATGTGCCATTGCATGACACACTGCCATTTAAAGGGAATAGGAGATGAGACTCTGGTTGGTTTAATGCACATTATGCTAAAAACACACCCATAACTCATAAGAGAATAAGCACAACCATGTTAGACCATGCACCAGGGTGCAGACCATTTTTTTCCCATCCTTAAAATAGCAAAAATCGATTCGGACACACCCTTAATGATTTTGCACCTTGCGCTTTAGACTTTGCACTTAAATCGATAAAATAGAGCTCCTAGTGTTTTCACTTTGAACTGGTCAGTTAATTGAGTTCAAACTGGGCTGACTTTAGAGAATATTTTGTTTTTCTAAATGCCCAAACCTCGCAGAGAGACATGCAGGGATTTATGTGTAGCGTTTTGCAGAAATTGTTCTGACTAATCTGACTCACGTGTCAAAGCGGGGAATAATGTTAATACATTAGAGAAGTGGGTGTGCTTTTTGAAAAACTTCATTTGAAAGTTTAGTTTAAAAGTCTGCTTACAGTGTTTAAGCAAGCGAGAAATACTGTACTATTTTTCTGGCATACATTATTCACACGTATATATTTGTATAAACATCTGTATGCAATAAGACCAGGCTAGTTTTATACTGATACACTGACTAATACTCACCATGCGCTACCCATCCATGCTTGCACTGGTCACATGTCCGCAGGTGGATTTTGCCAGGCTGGAAACACTCACATGTGCAGTTTACCAGAGTACAGCGGATGGCCTGAAAACGCACAAGCACATAATAGAGTTTTTGTTGAAATGATTTCAGTATTCATGAATATTAGCCTCTGTGGTCTTTCTGATTCATTAATGCATATTAAAAAAAAAAAAAAACTGTATAGATTGTGTGTCTGTTTCTGAACTGATGCTTAATGGGGCAAGGATAATTCAGTTTTTAAAAAGAATAATACATTTAAAGTCAATATAAGTAGCCCTCTGAAGTTTTTTTTTCTTTTTTTTTTGATTGGCTACAGAACAAACAACTGTTGTCCAATAACTTGCCTAATTAAGCTAACTTGCCTTGTTACACCTTTAAATTGCACTTTAAGCTGAACTTAATACTATATTGAAAATAACGAGAATACATATATTGTGAATTGTAACTTAAATGAATGCAGTCATGCTTATGATTGTTATACTGACTGACATTCTAACAAGCATCGGTTTTCTGTCTTGTGCCATATTCATGTAGAGGCATTTAGATGAGCTCTTCCTTTCTCTCACCTGAAACCTGGCCTGTTTTTGCCCCATTTGAATTTCCTTTGTTTTGACAAAAGCTGCCATTACTTGCTGTGGAAACTGAACCAGAGCTGACCCCAAAAGCTTTTAGCGATGAGGGGTTAAGTGTCCCAACGAGACAGAAAGCCTGGCAGGACAACCCAATGGCATTGTGTGATAAGACATCTCCTTAATCACTCCGCCACTGAAAAGACTCCGGCAGGAAGAGAGGAAAGGTGGGGAGGCCACGCTGTTCGTGTTCTCTCACACCTCTGCTGTCAAGGTCTCTCAGAAGATGGATTCAAAAGTGAAAAAAGCCCTTTTTATGTTATCCTATTCAACATTGCGCAACATTTTATGGAATTCTGCTATGCATACTTAAGTACAGTCCAATTTCATGGATCACTGCACTGGTTGGTTATAAGCAATAAAACTCAGAGATGATAATAATAATAATAATAATAATAATTATTATTATTATTATTATTATTGTTATTTAAAATTTAAAATTATAAATTAAATTAAATTAAATTAAATTAAATTAAATTTAATTTAATTTAATTTAATTTAATTTAATTTAATTTAATTTAATTTAATTTAATTTAATGCACTGCAGTTTGTTTCTGCACCCCACAAAGGTATGGCGAGGAAAAAAAAATACTATCTGTTTTCTTTCTTTTTCTGTCAGCTATTGTTCAGTTTATTTTTAAACAGTTTATGTACATGACTTCCTCGTTGTTTGTTTGTTTATTTTTACCAAACTGAAGAATTACTCTGAATCAATCATTTAAATGAAATAGCTGCAGACATGACATCAGTTTACAAACCAGGCTGACTTATAGGCATATGTTCTAAACATGTTTGATTCATTGAATAATGAGGTCTGTTGTATCGTGTGTGTTTGTGTGTGTGTTTGTGTGTGTGTGTGTGTGTATGTGTGTTTGTGTGTGTGTGTGTGTGTGTGTGTGTGTGTGTGTGTGTGTGTGTGTGTGTGTGTGTGTGTGTGTGCGTGTGTGTGTGTGTGCGTGTGTGTGTGTGTGTATGTGTGTGTGTGGAGAGAGAAGAGAGCGTTAGAGAGGGAAACAATAGAGAAATTGTTGTGAATGGTGAATAATGGAACAATTTATGTGATGGTTAATGTTTTTTTAAACACTAAAGAGCTCTATAAGGAGCACATGCTCAGCTGTCTCAGTGATGCACTTCTGCACTTTTCATGGTGAATATTTCTATTAATGCCATAACGTAAGTTGAAACTAATGAGAGCAAATACAAATCATATACCATCAGGTTACTAACAATAAACAATGTGAAACTGCATAAGGTTTCCTTAGTCCACCAATCCACAAATAGAAAATCACAAATCTGTGATTATGAAGCTCAGATCCTGTAAAGCATTTTGTATTTATGACTGTTGAGTCTACTGTGTACACACACACATACACACACACACACACACACGCACGCACGCACGCACACACACACACACACACACACACAAAACTCTCCCACCCCCGATTTTGAATATTATAAATCAGCACTGTTGGCACTTCACCCACCATTGACAGATATTTTTGTTAAATGTTATTTTTCGAAAATGACAAGTTGATATAAATTGCAGTAATATTTAATAAAATCCTTTGTATTGCAAACTGCAGCATTAGGTAGTGATTGGGAGTTGATGTTTCATTAACCACCCATATGTGGCAGCAGAAATATAATATACAGTCCTGAACTATTGCTAATAAAAAACAAGACAGAAAAAGTAAATTACAATATAAGTCATGTTGATTTTTGTATTAGGCTACTGTGTCCTATAGCAATGTAGTGTTTACTTTGGCTTTTATGGGGTTACACCTGTTTTACACCGCAAGCGCTAGCAGAGCATGCGCAGCACGTATGGAGAGCAGAAGCAGCGCACAGGCGTTTGCCTTTAACACTGACTGTGTCTGAAGCTCATTGGCAGCTGCTGCACAAATCAATCTATTCTAGTTACCTATCTTATCTATAAAAACACTTTTTTTAAACTTTTCATCTGCACTAAGGCCTGCAGCAACTTCCTCCAATGCTGTTTCCTTAACCTGCAAGTCTTTATTTTACAAATTATATAGATCACAAAGAACTGTATGCTTCTCATGCTCTGAGGAGTGTCATTCATGTCTTTTCATCATTGTCAGGATGATGTAGGCCTATAGTTATAATAATATTTATACAATATAGTTATAATGATATTTATACATGATCAAACTAGTGTGCAACTTAATAAGCAAAACTAATATTAAAAATTTTTAAATTTGGTTTTGTAGTTTGGGCCTAAATAAAAATTTGTTGCCATTTTTAATTGTCCAAGTTCATTTTATTGAATACATGAAAATCCGTGGATATTATCAATGTATTTATTTGGTATTTGGTTTGCTACTTTTACTGTTATTTAATGTGTATTTGGTCATTATCAATGCACTGTCACTGACGCTCTGCTCACACTGGCGGTGTGAAACATCATTTAGCATTGTAAATACCTGAATACAGCAGAGAACTACAGACTCTGTAGGTTGGTGGTTTTATGAGGCCTTATAATCTGTGAACAACATTCTCTGTCTTGTCATCACTAAAACATTACAGTATTTTTTTATTATTAGCAAATACTTTTGATGTTCAGATGGTCAAATGCAGATGTAAATATGTAGCAGAAGAAAGTACTTCACACAAAAGGATTGTTGATTTTATTTTTATTTACACAATTATGCCATTATAATGTCATGTGCATTTCAAATATTTTAAGTCATGCCAAGCCATTGATTATCCTGCCTATTCGGTGGTCATTTGCCAAATTACATCCAAGTTAAAACTAGTTTAGCTCTTTGCAATATTTGACAGAATTTTTATCAGTTGACATCTTAGACAGAAAAGGAGTGTATGTGCAAGAGGGATTGTAAATGACACAAACTTTTCTAATAGCTTACAGTATATATTATATTGTGTATTATATATATATATATATATATATATATATATATATATATATATATATATATATATATATATATATATGTGTGTGTGTGTGTGTGTGTGTGTGTGTGTGTGTGTGTGTGTGTGTGTGCGTGTGTGTGTGTGTGTGTGTGTGTGTGTGTGTGTGTGTGTGACACTGCTTTGCTATTCACATCAGTGCAGAGATGTCCGGCTAAGCATGATGCACACTGTGCATCAGTCAGTGTGAAGACAGCACAGAGTGGACATTGAACGGAAGAGAGACACAAAGAGAAGTCCAGGGTGATTGTTGCTTGGACCACTGAGGACCCTGTGAACTCCTCTCAAAGACTCAGCTGACAGAGATCAAACCAGTGACAGCCTGCTGCAGTATCCAGAGACATAACTGTGTTCAAAGTACTGGAGAGAGGGGCATAGGGAGGGGGGCGCACGGCCGCCTCAGGAGGACAAGGGAGGGAGGTGAGCCGCTTCTGCCAGCGACTGATCTTCTTTCTCTCTCGTTGTCTCTGTGCTGTCACCCGCTGATTGATCCAGGTGTTTTATAGCTATCTAGAGGCACAGAGCATTCAGACAAAGAGAGGCCTCTGTCAATCCTTTTGATTGGGGCTGCACATTCCTGGGCCAGATGGTGGACAGGCCTTCTTTGGACACCGCCAATCCACATACCTCTCCCCAGCACTCAGGAGAAATGTTGAGTGTGTGTGCGTTTCTTTTCAGACAGGGTAGGTCAATGTTAACATGATGTTAAAAAATATGTCAGATTGTGATCTTTAAAAAACGTTTTGAATTAAAAAAAAAATAAAAATCAGTTTTGTAACGTAATTCTAAATTTTTGCTTTGTTTGTTTGGAACATTGTTCATTATTAAAAGTATTTCCTATCCAGGTAAACTATTTAAATTATATTTTTATACATATGTTATGTATTTGTGATTTGATCCAATCTACTAGTTTTATGCTCACACATCATTTCTGTTCAGTTTTCACAACACTGGATCATGTGAATTTGGGATTCAGGGGAGATGATGGAGATATTTAAAAAAAAAAAAAATAAATTTGTGTGTGTTGTAACACGTTCAGCAGAAGATAATGTGGAGGCAGAATAATAAATTTACAAACATTTACGTTTATTTAATTGACTACTAATTGAATATTTTTTTTTCTGTCTAGAAATTTCTTAAGGCAACAGAAACTGAAACCACCGGACCAGTTAATAACCAAATGAGCAGGTCTCAGTCTTTTCTGTCTAGATAAATTAATTTCACACAATTTCAGAAAGTCTGAAAAAAATCAATGAGCGATTTCACAAACTTTACCCCCTGAAAAATGATACTCTTTGTAACATATTTAATGTTGCAGTCATGCATAAACATGCCTTTAACATTCATGTCTTAAGATATAGCCCACAGAATGTGTTACGTTTATTCTTTTATTAATCAAACACAGAGGTTTGTAACATGTTCTGAATCTTTTCCTTGACTCTTATCAGTCTTCCGCTGATAAAGGCTCATTCCCAGAAG